GACGGCGATCAACTAAATCTTCATCGCCCACTGCTGACTCTTCTCGATGTGAATGTGGATGCCTTGTGGGTCGACGTCGTCGACAGGGTCTACCCGATATCTTGTGATGCGGCGGACATACCTCGACCCCGAGAACTCGTGGGAGGTTGAGCTGGCACTGCCCAGACGTCGTGGACGCTTATGATCAGAAGGATCAAGACGCTTTGCGTCGTCGGCCCCGCGCTTCTCCGCGGTAGCCCGGAAAGCTGAAGGACCATGAGATGAGCTCAAGCTATAAGCTGCTGAGTCGTAGACTCACCCGTGTGAGAAACCACAGAGCTCACGGGAGCGTGATGAATGATTCCATGTGTCGCAGGGCGACAATACGCAGGAAGTCAGAGTTGCGCCTTGAGTTTGACAAGCTCAAATCTAAGATGGCGCTCAACGCGCACGTCCACATCCTTGTGGCTTCGCTGTAAGGTAGATAGCGTAGAAAGTTTTCGGTGCCGCTGTACCCATCGCTCAAAGAGCTTATCGTCATCTGCAGCGGTTTTGTCAGGGGCGAACACCACAGGGATGGCCCGCATTGCGGGAACAAGAGCACCTCCTTTTTGAGCTCGAAGTCGAGTGCAGTACCGATCCACTGAGATCTCTTGTGGTACCAAAAACCACGCTCGCAGAGCTTTCCGCTGATCAAGCTCAGCTTGTGTAGTGGCCGGAAGCCTGACTACGTAGTGGCCTAACGATCGAGTGATCGCGTCTTTTGCTTCAGTAGCGGGATCCTCCGAGAGGAAACCGTATTCCACGCGAGAGTCTAGGACCGAACGTGGATGCGAGCGCATGAGAGCGGTCTTTTGAGTATCTTCAGCTGCTGCTCCTGTGCCTCGTCGAGGCGATTGGTAACAATACCACTTCCTCCGGGAGTGGAGAGGCCGGGAAACGGACACGGCGTCCGCAAGGTTCGAGCTGGGCTCACATCGCACCGTTGGCGCACCTCCCCCTCCTCGTCCTTCATACTGAGAAAGGAATATCCGACTCGGAGTCGACTTCCTCCAAATTCTCGACGAGAAATTCTGTCGCCCGGGGCGGGCGCGGTGTGTGGCGCTCGGTTGCCGAGGGCTTGGGATATGCTTCCCGTGAAGCCGCAGACGTACTGTCCGGAGATGCACCCCGTGCAGAAGAAGAAGAAGCGCTTTGTCCCCGGGCGCCCTCGGAAACTGCAAGGCTGGGTGTTTTTCGTGTGATAGACACAGGGCTCATTGAGCGGAAGTTGTTCGAGGATGTTATTGAGGACGTTCAACTGTCTCAGAAACGCGAGCCTCTTATGAGGCGACAGTTAAATTTGAGTTGAGGATATTCATAATACGTGGCAGGACTGCCAGTAGTAATGCATATTACTATATCAATTAGGTTTTATCAAATAGGTATTCCTCTATTAATAAGAGAAACCTAAGGTTTAAAATATTGGCGGCTCTGCCGCAACTACAACAATTAACTACAGCTTCAATTTTTAACGGAAGAGCTTACTTGCCTTGGTCAAGGTTTTAAGCACTCTTGGATGTAGCGGATTGCGATCAGCTATCCTCGTACTGGTTCTTGTAAAGAACGTACGATCTGTGACCTTAGCTTAGCTTCCTTTGAGCAAAAAGCTACGACAGCCCTGCTGCAGCATGACAGTTGAATATGAGCAGTAGATGTTCACAATCTTGATGATAAGGAGTGTGGAGGGGTCACACAAGATGACGTAACTTACACAAGATTGCGTGACCACACAATGATGTGGCTGCACTCAAATAAGAAATCAGTACGTGGCTGGAACAGCCAGATATAGACGGCTTTGCCGCAGATAAAGACCAATAATACAGTTTACATTTTAAACGGAAGAGCTAATTAGCATTAGTTGAGGTAGCAGTTACTCTTGGAGTATGCGGATTGCGATCCGCTTCACTCATACTGGTTCTTAGTATGATACGATGGCGGCCGACCTTAACTAAGCTTCCTCTAAGCGAAAGAGCTACAGAAGCCCCGCTGCAATTGTCGTGTTACTTTGCAAAGAGGGAGATATAGCTCAAAGTGTCTGCATTCATGAGCACAATAAGATTAAATTTGTATGCTCCACATAGGAGCGGAACGGAAAGTCTTCGAAGTAACTGAGCCATTAGTTAGCTATGCTATTGGACATTTATATTAATTCAGACTAATATTATATATATGTTTTTTACTATATTTTGTAATAAAACTCTCCTATTTACTTATAGTGCGTGCTGGCAGCCTACGTGGGCCATGGCCATCATCCTTTACGGAGTCCCATCCACGTCACACATATCAATCTTGTGAATAATCACAATTACTTGAAAGTGCAATGCATATTTCGAACACTTGCACACTTGTCATCTGATTGACAACTAGTTCCGCTGAATGCAACAAGGTTGCCTTGTACCTCGCACAGAAGAAGATTTGACGCTTCGAGTGTGCATTAGCAACCAAGAGGTTTGCTGCTTTTTTATATTTCAAGAATACAGTCTAAATTTATTGTTTTTACACTTCCACACTTAAACTAAGGCCGAGGAACAATAGTGACAAATGTATAATGAATGACGTACACCAAAATACGGTACATACATTAGCCTTCTCAACGAGGACGGTTTATGACGAGAATCATGTTCTAGTGGGGGAAGGTGTAACGGGGTATCTACTCATTCTCACTCTTGTTCTTTAGATTCAAAGTGAAGCTCAAGGTTCGGATATGTTTTGGTACCATGTTGGGTAAATGTGGCACTAAGACTGACTACATATGGTCGAATCAAATGAAAAGTTTGACTTTATTATCTTGAAATCCTAATTCTTTAGAATATAAACGACAACATTGATCGGAGTAGCTAAGCGCATCAAGGATCTGGCATAATTCAAGTCAAAATAAGGAGCAACCTTGACCATTGAATCGGCTACTATCATGTGAGTTTTCGAGACAAAAACTGCAGTATATTAAACCATTTCTTCGCCTAATTAATCATATATACAATCACCAACCAACAATATAATCGCATTTACAGACCATGAGGAAGTTGCCCTTACCCTGTTCCTATTGTGCTGGCTTTGACCACTTGGGGTGCTGTAATTCAACTCAATCTGCACTTATGAAACGAGGCATGTCTAACTGTCGAATTGTGCTAATGGATGTTCACTAATTGACCGCTGAGCCTGTTTACAAATTCGATTCACTTTTTCGGTCAATAAATAGAAAAAGTTGAAGTATTTCAAGTTTGAACTAGTCAAATGTCATGAACCTATCGTACATATTACAAGCACTAAAAGAGCCGGCAAACGCCCCGAAACACAACTAAAGCGCAAGCTCAACAGCAATTTGCGGAAAGAGGAATGTCCTGTCTTTACGCATCACAAGGTAGAAGAATCAGTGTGACCCCACCTCCGAGCATGAAACTGGCCCGTAACCTTTCCGATTAATCTACGAGACCACCTACAAATTAGTATTTTTTTTGCTGTCTCACTTGCTATTTTTAACTGGCGACGGCGGGAACTTCCACTAACTCGTCCCTCCCCGTTATTTTCTCGTCAAGCCGCCGCCATATCGACAGACTTCCAAGTTTTAAAATTCTAGTAATTTTCTTCTCGTAATCCTTTAGTCGATTGCTTCATGGAAACAGAAGAAGCGCTGCATAAATCAAGGCCCAACCCCAGCAGCTCTATGAGCGCATACCAGAGCAATGGCGTGTCTTACCATCCATTGTCTAATGGCGTCCCATCTCCTCCTCATTGCCGTTCAGATTCACATCCTGGACCTTTCATGCCCACACTACCGCCTGGTTCGTGCCTCTTGTGCTACAATCCCAACGTCGATGTGATGCTAGAGCCTTGTCATCACCAATTTCACGCTGGGTGTATTGAACGCACACTGACTAAAGACAAGGTTTGTCCTACTTGCTGGATGCCGATTCAAGCGCCACGTCGCTTGATACAACAGCAGTATGCGGTACAAGTGGAAAAGAGCACTCATCAAGACTCTGGGTATATCGTTGATAGCAAGTCACAAGTGCTGGATGGTCCTACTTCAAATGCTGCTGGTGGAGGAACTCCAACTGGTAATGTCACTACTAAACAACAGACAGCTGCAGCTATGCGCAAAGGCAAGTGGACGGCTGAGGAGAGTGCCTACTGTGATCGCTTGATTGAAGAATTTAAAAAAGGGAATTTGCCTTTAGCTGAGGGTACAACACTACGCACCTTTTTGTCCAAACTTCTTAATTGCGACCCGATGCGTATTTCAAAGAAGTATACAGGCGACCAGTGCATTGGCAAGATTATTTTTCGACGACGGGATGACGACGTCTCGACGGACGATATGGAAAGTATTCGCAAAGAACTTGCCGAGTTAGAAAAGACATACTTAGAGCGAGAGCAGTATAATCAGCGACGACGTGAAAAACGACTTGAGTCAGAGCTTTCCAGAGATAAGAATCGTGTAGTAGCTGCTAGATCTATTGGATACGCAGCAAGCGGAAATCCATCGGCTATGACATCGCCACATTCGCAACACCAACATCAACAAGGATATTTAAGCTCTTTGATGACAAAACAGGAGCCTCGTTCGGTTTCATTACAGCAACAGGTTAATCCAGGGTATGGTGTCTCTAGTCGACCTAATGGCATGCCTGTTCAGCCGCCACTTCATCCGCCACAACAGCAAGGCCATACACCTGTGTCTCCTCACGTATATAGTGGTGACCAAATGCTCGGGCCTGTAAGTACGCAAACACAGAGCCAAGGCCAACAGATGCCGTCAGCTCATGTCCCGGAACACAAACCTTTACACTGCGCCACAATCGATGACAACTCGGGCGATGTTTTTCCTCGCGTGTCGTCAATTGACAGCTTCTCTTGTCTCTTCCCTCGAGTGGCAAGTCTTGAAAACTTTCAGCACACGGCGTCTTCCGGATTTGGTTTTTTGCATCCAAATGCTTCGTACGCGATGACAGAAAGTATCAGCACGATGATTAACAGTGGATTCGATCCTCATCATACTGGACTGCCGAAACCGTTGTCTATTAGCGAGGGTTTAAACGCGTATTTCCCTCGAATTCACTCACTAGAGCAATTGTCCAATCTATTGCAGGATCACGGTCCTAGCAGCCCTCGAGGAGCGCAGACCTCGCGGGATTCATCAGATAATATTAACAATAGGCAGCCTGAAGAACATTCCGCTACATCTGGCGTTCGGCGACGGCTCGGTGAGGTCATTGTTAAGGAAGAGCAGCAAGAAGACCCAGATACAGATGGTCAATCCACTTCTGAAATTAACAATACCAATGACAGTAGTATGTCGACGTCGACAAGCTCGGGAGCGACCAAGCGTCTCAGTCCTAGTCACAATGTTGCATCTTCCTTAAGCTCAGGTAATCAAATACAGGCTCCCAAACCTGTGCATAAGATGCCGCGTAGCTCTTCGGGGATTTTTCCACGTGTGCCATCGATGGATGCAATGCCTCGTGTGCCTTCAACAGACAAGATCCCTCGTGTCGCATCGCTAGATAAGCTCCCACGTATTCCGTCAATGGACAAGCTTCATACACTGGGTAATGGTGAGCAGCGCATTCCGAGAGTGCCGTCTACCGACAAGATATCTCGTGTACCGAGTTCAGATATGCTGTCGCGGTTTGGCGCTGGCGACCTCAGCAGTTTCCCATCATTCTCCAACCTCAGCTCGTTATCATCTAGCACTTCGTATGAAAAGTTGAGTTCTCTTAGTGGGTTTAAATCCGGATTCCCGCGAAATTCTTCGATTGAAGATATATTATCCCTGGTTGCGTCATCTGAGTCAACAGGCTTGCCGCTAAATGCGCTTGCAGCAGTAGCTGGCGAGGAGTCATCGCACTATGAACGGAAACGTCGATTAGAAAACCCGCAGCAAGACACTTCGTTGACTGCAGATCACAAAAAGAGTAAATTGTCGGCGTGACAAAGTGGGACATGCTCTGTGTAATCACTTTCAGAGTAGATGATTATAGATGGCTTTTTCGGAAGGGGTCAAGCCTATGTACGGTTCAATGCGGTGATTGATCTCCTGGGAGTCGTTTACATACAACAGTCTCCCTCACTCAACCTCAATGATTCACTTGGCTGCTTCCGACTAGTTACTGTGGCCAGCGATTTGTGTGATTAATCCTTTTAATGTAAGCGCGTGCAATGCTAAACTATACTTTTCTATATGCGTGAAATTTGTCATGTCAGGAATTGCGTATAAAACCCATAATGTACAGAATCAGGTTTTATATAAAAAACACCACCACTAATTTGTGATAACGTGTCATTGTGAACCTAAGACAAATCTTATGTGCGGATTTAGTGACGCATAGTCAGGGCAGTAAAATCAATAATTTAAAAGCACGGGTGGAAATTCGCGATGAGCTTATGGGAATGAACTCAGCGTAATTAAAGTTTGCGATTTAAAGTCGTTCTATGTTTACTTCTTTGTAAGGCCGTAAATGGTCAGACAACGAGCCCGATTGAGACAAATAAATCTCGAAATTGCTGCAATGGCACTTGTAATGGGATAAATACAGTATTATTGTGAGCCATATATACACCTTTCACTTTTGTACAATTGTGCAAGTTTCAAAATTTTACATTTAAAACGGTACGAAATTCGCATCACTGTATTGTGAATGTGCATATTGATAAATACCGAAGGATTCGCGAATGCAAAGCGAATGGTAACTCCTTTATACTTAGTAGCACTTATTGTCACATAAGATTCGCAAGAACTGTGTCTTCTGCGAGGATGGAAAATAAACTCTTTGCGCTCCTAATCCTGGGACCGATAGACTATATTAACAGGCTGATGACTCTCGCGGGTCCAATGAGACGGAAAACTGACAGCCGAAGGACTGGAAGCGGACTAGAGGCACTCACCAGCTATGGAAATGCACTGGGAGAGAGATGGCTACCACCGCGAGGCCGCAAGATTTAGCGCCTAGACCTACGAGGGCCGAGACAAAAAATACTCTTTTTGTAAATGAGAGAAGTTGAGGTGGTCATGGATTGGCCTTAAGACAGGCGAAACGACAGCGCTTCATGCTTACGATCTCCACGCAATAGGTCGCGCGAGAGAATGGGTGTTCATTTGCGATACTTAGGTTGAAAGGCGTTCCCAACGTGTTTCAATTTAATACGACAAAATTTACGGGTGTTCATACAGCCTAACCAATCGTGTCAGGTACGTTCGGAGTTCTTGCCCACCATCAAGAGAGGCGACAACTGCCCAAGTGTGTCTAGAAGTTTGATTTCTAATCGCTGCAATGACGTCCGATCCTCCCTCGGAGGCAGTAAAAAATATATTTACAGGCGGTTCTCGAAAAGGTTCGGCTCGTGCCCAGATCTTCTGCGTTTATTTCATCGAACTCGAAGATGTAGTGGGCGCTGCATCAATTTGAAATACATCGATCATGCGGCTACGGCAAGATGAAGTACCGTAAACGAGGCTGTGCGGCGTGTTATAGGCGGTGGATCTCGGCCATGCTGCCAGGGACACGACGAGTCTCTTTGCAGCTGGAACGCTTTGCGATACCGGCAGATGTTTTTTTGCTGAAGTGCAAAACATATGTGCCTTGCGTGCCCCTTTTGATCTTGAATAGAAGATAGAAAAGGTTGGGCTCCCACCGCAAGGGCAAATACCTTGACGAGAAATATCGAGTCCAAGTAAGCACAGGGCTGCCTACTGGGGGACGACTGGGATTTATTGTCCCTCGTCGAGGCCATGCAGCCCCGCTTCCTTTCGCAACACCTAGATCAAAACAAAAAACTTACTACCGTATAGACTTTTGTATACTATGCGAGAGTAATACAATGTACGAAGAATGCCTATTTCAATGCGCTCATTTACGTCTCCCACTAGATATCATGTTTTATTCAAGCAATTTATCTCCCCCAAGGGCTTTCTCTGGTAATTATAAATATACGAGCGAAGCACATGGAGAACCCAAGGCTAATATACTCTTCCATTTAAAACGTAAACTGGTCAGCCCTAGAAAAACAAGCCCTGTTTCAGAGTTTTTGGATATTACTATCAACGTTTTGAACTCTTTAAGCCGTTAGAAATTCTGATAGTATTCGGAGTATTGTGCAATCTGAACGACACGCTTATGCCGTTTGGAAACTATTACAGCGTGAAAGGTTGTCTACTCCTGGACCTACATTTGAGATAGGAATGCATGATGTGGCTGGAATACCAGAAACTATTGGTTAGCTAAAAGTCATAGTGCTTGGTGCTACGTATTTTACTCGGAGCAGATGTTCTTTGACTCAAATTCAGACCCCGGCTCGCTGCTGGCTATGCCTGTTAGCAATACCATTGCTGTCAACCAAATTTGGATATTTCTATGCCCTGTGTGCAAACCATCGCAACTGTAGCGCCAGCGGCAATGCTTCCTGGCGGATTTAAAATCATTATACGACAAATTGAATATCGTGGTCTGCAGTGTATATCTGCTAAGTCGGGAAAGGTAGACTGTATGTGGTGGGCTTCATGGATGTCTCTGATGCAATGGTAAGGAAGAGTTTTAAGCTGGTGTCTTCTATGCAAGGATGATATGAAGCAGAAGAGATCGAGTGTCGCAGTCTCACGTTCCAGAGCCGTTGGAGTAGAACGGCGATCGTAAAAGGGACAGAACCTGAGACAAGATGTACAAGACTTTGAGGTCATCTAATTGATACGGTCAGTACTGAAAGAAGAGCTGAGCCTGTTAATCGTTTCGTATGAGTCTTTCGTCTGCAAGAAATCGATTAGTATTCTAAAAACGACCACAAAATTTCCCTGACCTTCTTTGAAGAGAGATCACGATGCGGTAACGAGGGATTCAAAATGCGCCTTACTCCCGGACAGGAAAATTTGCCTTGTTTCTCAGGATCAAAAAATTGCAAACGGCATTGACCTTACCCATGAATCCATGTGACGTCGTTAAGTCATTTTTTGCGAGGAGCACAAAGCGTGTTTGGTGAAAAAAAGAAAATCTCCACGCTCAGCTCCAACTTCGTTGTTAGAAAGTCCCAGGCAAGTGGCAAATCATGCTTACTTATAACAAGCTAAATGCATCCACAGTTTCGCTGTAGAAGCGACCTGCATAACAACATGGACGGCTGCACTCGACCTAGATGATATTTATTATCAAGCGCCGATGATAGACAGCGGTACCGTCCTCCTGTGATGAGTACGATAACTGAAATGCTTGGAAGTGGAAATTTGTGCCACAAAAACTGTCTATTGGATCACTGAGGTTCGATCGTCTGTTGACACTATTGTTCAGGTAGCATTGTGGCTACGCGCAAACCTGTTTCGGTGAAAAAATGGTCCGTTTTGTTTGAAGCACGTGAAGGTGAGTTTGAAGAACCACATTTTACACTTACAAGCATTGTGTGAGCGTATGTGCGTAAATTTGCTATTCGCCGGTATAGTTAAGTGTGTCTCTAGTAATAAGCTACAGACAGATTCCGCGAAGTATACTCCTCGTAGGTTGGCTAGTGCCTATGTCCTAGAGCAATTCGGAGAAATGACCTGACCTAGCGCACGACTTGCACAAGTACAGAGCAAACTGTGCCGAAATTGCACGATCCCTAACCAAAACCTTTTAATTACATGTCAAATGATGCTGGAAACATCGAAAAAGGCGATCATCATGGCTGTAAAGGAAAATGAAAAGACTCATGCGTACCGCGATCTGGCTCTATTGATCTTAAATATGAAAGATTTTCACTTCAGTGACACTTCATTCATTGAAATAGACCGAGCTTCAATACAAGCAGATACAAATGGGTACGAACGCACAATCGCGCCCAGTTCTCTTTAGCTCAAAGCTATTGAGAAGATTATCTTGTTCACGACAAAAAGCTACTTGCAATCAAGGATGCAATTGTCAAGTGCGCCTGCTTAGCTCTTAACCATTTGTGATCGTTACAGTCATGCGCCGTTACACACAGCGACATCATTACCACATCTACCACATCCTTCTCAGAGATTAGTATGGTAACCATCCTACTTTGCCGAGTTCATCTTTGAGATATGGTTTAAGCCGTTTCAGCTCAATATGGTTGCGGGTACACTTTCGCATCGCTCCGACTATGAATGTCAAGGTGGTGATAGCGTCAAATGAAAGGCAACACCTCCAACTTACAGATCTGACACAACAGGTTTTGCTGGAAAGCACTAATTTATATGACATTTAGCGTGTAGTAGTTTCTTACGATGAGGATCTCAAATGCATAATACTGTGCAAGGCGCATGACAACACTCTGAGCAGCCACCTTGGAAGGGAAAAGTCATACTGCTTGGTGATCGCTACGTATTGGTGGATCAGCTTGTATAAGTAGGAAAGCATATATGTGCACCCATGTGAGACGTACCAACGGGTTGACCTGTCCGTTCTAATAGAGAGCTGGCAGTCCATGAGCAAAGAATGCTTTTTGGTCTTCCCAAATACGCGTCCAGTTTCCCGGCACGGTGGTCTTTAGCGGACCGTCTTATCAAGAATATTCATTTGCTGTGTCAGTGATAGTGTAGTTTTCTTGACAAAGATTTATGCCAACATGGCTTGCCAATAGCCATTGTATCAGATTATGGTCCGCACTTTTATGTTCGGGCAAACATTACATTGGGTTTCGGCACCAAATTGGATATGTCATCACTGATTATTTTCAAACAGATGATAAGACGGAACACTTCAACGGCGTTGTGGAGGATAATTGACAAAGCACTTGCGCGGATAGAACGCGATACTGGAGCGAAATGCTTTCACTCAGTAGTTTGCATTAAATAGTGCAGTACATACCTCTATGGCCTCAGGCCCATTCACTCAAATTTCTGAGCTGATAACCGTGTTGGCACCACCAAAAAGTGGCTGCGGAGTTTGTGAGAATCAATAAGCCCCAGCTTGCTAATACAGCCCTATTACACCCCTTGAAAAATTA